GGCGGGTGCGCACCGCCGACGGCCACTGGCTGCCCGGGGTCCTGGGGACCCCGGCATGGGACTGCTGGGGGAGCCCCAGGGCTACCCCCGACGCAAACGCGGAGATCCTTACATTTTGCCACCGCAGCCTTGACATTTGGCCGCAGGCTAATCCGTCCTGCTCGTTGCGGACGCGGCGACACCTTCCGTGACGCCTTCGGTGACATCCCCGAGGGCCGCCTCCACGCCACGAAGCGTTCTTTTCTCCCTAGAGGACGTCGAGGGACGGCGGGACAGATTCGCTCCTCCCGGGGCTGTGGGGCGCGGTGGCGGCTTTGGAGCTCCTGCCGCTGTCACGGGCAGGACTGGAGCCCACGAGGAACACGCAGGACACCCCTCTCAGCTTCGCAGCTCTGGGCCGGCCGAGCTCGGCTCTCCACCTGCCGTGCTGGGGCCCTGGCTTGGCTGCCCCTTGCGCGCAGAGGGGCCGGGACCCCGCGACTCCGCCCGAAGTTGACTTCAGAGTTTTCTGTCGCCTGACTTCTAGAAGCTGAGAACCTTGAGGGGCTTCAGAATGAGACGACAGCGTCTGAGCTTAGACACAGCCGTCAAAGCAAGCACGCCGATGTTGCCGGGATTTGAACACTGGTTGGGAGAGGGAGAGGCGTTGAGGGGCGTTTTGTGCGGGAGGACTTTGGTTCCCCGGGGATGTGATTGGCGGAGTTTTTAGTCATTGTTATTGTTGGAGAGGTTTAATATCAAAGGAAGGATTCCCCAGAAACTGAAATTCCCCATCCTACTTCTCTGTCCGTCTGCCTCCGTGGAAATGCAGATATTGTGGCCTGTCGTCCACTAGCCAGCGCCTCTCAGTCCGGAGAGGAGTGGTGAGCATGTCTAGTTCGTTCGGGTCCTGTGGTAAGGCCCACAAGGCCCCCTTGTTGAGATAAGGGCCATACATTCTGACATAGAGCTGTAAAATACTCTGCCGCATCACACTGAGCTTCCTAGGCAGAGCCAATGAGTGAAATTGAGAACCGAAATGATTTCTTGTCAAAATAACCAACACTTCCAAATTCATGGTCAAAGATTTAAGTTGGGGCCTCTCCGCTGCATCCTTGATGCCTTTTAGGGATGTGCAGGGGAGAACCTGAAAAAAACGGGATTATCTTTTGGAGGCCGGACCTCTTGTAGCACAGGTTTCCTCTGCTAGGCAAGGGTTCTAGAGACGCATCAGCATCCGTGTACCAGGCAGTGTCGTTGCGAGAAGCTGCCTTCGGTTTCAGGGGTTATTTTGTGTGTGTTATTTTGTGTGTGTGTGACAGTCGACTGGTTCCTCCGCCATCGTCATACACCTGCCCACACTCTGGTGTGTTCAACAACTTTTGACCAAAAACAGCTTGACACCCCTACCCAACCTTCCCATTCACCTGATCTAGCCCTGAGTGACTGTCTTTTTGTTTCCCCGATGGAAATTCTCCTCAAAGGGAAACACTTTGCGGATGTGGAAAAGGTGGAACAAAAAAGGCAGATCACCGAAAGACATCACAATTGCTTGAGTTCAAAAACTGTTTTGAGCAGTGGAAAAAGTGTCTCGATAGGTGCTTTGCATCAAACAGAGAGTACTTTGACGGTGAATGAAGTTTAAACATGTAAGAATGAACATACAACTTTTTATAAATAAATTCCGGGTCCTCTCCTATTAGCATTATTTTTCTGTATGTGAGATTCAAATTTTCTTTGAAGCTACAAGTATGCAACATTTCCAGGAAACTTCTTTAACTGTTTGTCATGCTCACCAATATTCCTCCCTTAAAAGAAAAGAAAAATGTTTTATCAAGACCTTTATGTGTAGTAGGCAATATAGGGGAGACTAATATTTATTAATATATTAAGGTATAATAGTGTGAAATCTTTTAGATAAGTTTGAAATCGGAAATTATGTAGCCAGTTGTCAATATGAGGCCTGTCTCTGCAAAACTAAGGCTAGAAATACTACTTTGCCACTAGAATTTGTCTTGCACATCTGTGGAATGTCAGACTGTGAAAATGTATAATATATATAACACAAATCGAAGTACCACACGGGTCGAATTTGCAAGTTTCTACTGGGAAGGGCATTGCTTTTGGATTCACAAGAGAGACCTGGCTTACAGCTCATGCTACCCCTTATCAATACCCAAATCTTGTGAAAAATATTTAAACGGTTTTGAATCGCAGAATACCTATAGCACAAAGTAGTACTTCCCTCTCAGAGGCGTTTAAGGATTAAATGACATAAACTGCACCCAAGACCTTAGCCCTGCTTTTGATGCATCACAGACAATGAATAAATGTTAGCTGTCGATATTTTGTTGTAACCATTATTTCAGGTGTCAGGATCGTTACTATACTGCCCATCTGCTCTGATCCAGTCCTGCGCTGGGTGAGGGGGCTGAGATGAAGGATACCCCATCCTACAGGGGCGAGCCTGGCAGCAGGCAGGGGAGGCACTGTCTGTGATCAGTGTGGAAAAGGCTCGGTGGACGTCGATTAAATGCTAAGAGCACAGAGCGGTGGACTGGAAGGTTCACAGCAAGCTACCGATAAGCGATGCCTTTTGATCTAGTCTTGGAATTTTCTGAGTGTAAGCACTTACATGATGGGAACGGTGGGTGGCATTCCGCATGAGGAACTGGAAACAAGGAGGTGTGGGGTTGAGTAGCAGGAGGCGGGAACAGAAAAGCAATAGGAGACAGATTTTCAAGGGCCTTCCTTGTGTGCCGTGCAAAGAAACGTGATCTCCAACCTGTGCTTGACTCTAAAGCAGGAGAGTGACCTCAGGGATCTCTGGAGACTCTTCCACGAAACGGTAACTGGCAGGAATAGGCAAGCAGCGAAGAATTCCACTGTTACCAGAGCCATCCAGGTAAGACGTGAAGATGGCCTAGACGGAGTAGTGGTAGCGAATGCCGTCCTTAACAATTTTAAGTATTTTCTGGGAACAGATGATCTAGATTGGACAAAGCTAGGGGCGCATCTTGAGCAGTTCATTCAGGTCCCGTTTTCTCAGTTGGCAGCTAACTTGTAAATTCCCCCAATTTACTGAGTGCTAGGAATGTATCTTTTTTACAAATTTCCTGTCCCTAAATCCTGTGGTTCTCATGTGAGACATAATACCCTCTGCTGCCGGCCACCATCCTCCCAGGGGCTGACGTGAAGCATGACCGGCCTTTTAGAGGGACAGTAGCCTGACAGACCACACTGAGCATTCACTCAGTGGCCCAGGGGAATATTTGAAGGAGAGGAACTCTGTACAGTCTGGTGCTTGGCACCACCTGGATGAGGAAAGCACCTCTGACTAACGTGGGTGGCTTACCCCAAGGTCAGAAGTAGTCAAATGCTTTTTGCTTCGGCTGTCTCAGGTACCTGGCTTTCTCTTCCTTCACAGCAAATTTGTGAAATATCAAATTTTCACCTATTCAACTGTGAGCACAGCATAGATCAACTGCAACAGTTTTTATAGTCTTAACCTTCAGGTCTGTGGATTGCAGTTTCTCTGGAGCTGATTATGCTCCTGAGGATGGCGTGGCTTTCAGTGTCCCAGGTTTTTTAGTATTTATTTATTTTCTCCTGTTGCTTCTTTTCCTTTGGTATTAATTGACAAATGTGGGTTTAGGAGTTTGTTTTTAAACCAATGAAGTCAATTTGGTGAGGACTTTGGTCTGTGCTTCCAAGATAGTACTTTGTTGGTTGGTTGGTTTTTGCAAAGAAAGAAAAGCTTATTTAAAAGTAAGTTAGAGAAGGAAAGAGAGAGAGAAGATTCACCACCCCAAGATGGGGAGGGGACCAAAGCCAGGAAGCATGGTGACAGCCATAGCTCAAAGACCACCTGGCCACATCAGAGTCCAGCAAGGCAATTGCCCTGGCTGCTTGTGGTTGAGTCCTTTGAACCCTTCCCCTTGATGGGGAAGATCATTAGGGTGATTGGGTGGTGGTCTGCTCCTGTCATCATGAAGGGGCAGGCAAGCGTGGGTACTGACTACTGACAGCAGGTGATGGACTGCAAGCAGATGGGTGGGTTAGTCACAGGATTGCTGCCATGGTGGGGCTTATCTTTGTCATGTAGTTCACAGAGGGCTGATTAGGTTAACCCTTGGGGGGGGGGGGAGGATTCCTGCAAGAGACTTGTTAGACATTTGCAATTCACAAACTCAGACATTTGCAACTCACAAACTCCGTGACCAAAGGTGGTCGTATTATCACTTTTATGACTTTGGCCAGCCAAAGGGTGATCTTTGATTTTCGGCCTTGACAAGGAACCTAACAGTTTGCTAGAGATGATTATACTAAACCATGAATGGAAAGGTTGGGCTGTCCTGGTGGTCTTGCATCTGATGGAGATTTGCCAAGGGGGGATGGGGTAGGCTGCTGTTTGTTCTGCAGTAGAACGTTTGAAGGCTTTCTAATGGTTATGCTGAGGCAAAAAGACTAAACTAAGAATAAGCTCAGTTTCTTCTACGTTTCTATAGGTACCACCTTACATTCCCACCCCTTGCTATTCTTAAAAATATTCCTATTTGCACCTGGGAACAGGGACAAAGGTCAGGCTTCTGGAGCCACTCCTTGCTGCACATGGGGCATAGAGCTGTCCCTACCTGTTTAGAGTAAGAAGAGGGGATGAGAGGATAGGAGCCCATGATGTATTTTTAGTATTTGTATTTAAATTATTGACTGTAAGAATTCATATTATTATAATAAAATCCATTATAGCTGCTGTTTAATAGCACGTTTTTGATGTCTAGTAAAATGTACTTACAGTTATCCCAGTGGGTTGATACCAACCGCTGGAGTTCAGGCAGTCCTGACTGTTGCACCAGTAAATTCCTGAGTTCCTATGTAGACGTCCGTCCCCACTGCTTGTCTTTTAGCATTTTGGGGTTGTGATAAGAATTTATAGACCGTTATAAGGAGTGACTTAAGCAAGGAAATACAGCTACTTGGACAAAGTTCGAAGAAAAATTTAAGACATTAGTGACATGGAGTTAGGTTGTAGCTTAAACTGAGAATTTAAAGCAGGCAAACATTGGCAAGAGAAAACAGTGTCCTTTGCTTTTGTGATAGGTCTGATATGCTTGATATGCTAGAGGGTGAAGACCAGTTATTTTGCCATTCATTCTATGCTGGATAGTAATCCCTGGGCCTAGAAGGAGACTTTAAAGTTCATTAGCAATTTGGCAGTACTGTTAGTGAAATTAATTTACCTGGCCTGAAGGCAATTTATAAGGGGGTAGGGTAGGTGTGGTTCCTGGAGCTTGTTTCTTATCTCACCTAGAGAGACTGATTGAAAACTTTAAGAGCTTAAGTATTAAAAATTTTAAAGGCATGATGTTATAACTCAAGATTACAGCAACTATTGTAAAAGTTACTTATTTAGTCAAAGTGAGAGTCCAAGATTTTGAAAAAAACACACGAACACCAAAAACCTCTCTTTTTTGTAACAAAGACAGTGGGGGAGGGTTAACTGAATTTTCTCTCTTTCCTTCCCTGCTCTGTTGTTTAGAGAAAATTATTTTGAATAAGAATATATGATTTCAACATGGATGGCCAGGACCAAAAGGCTGGCATCAGTGTTAAATTAAGAAATTAATTTGGGTTCCAGGGCCCTGTTATTTTTTTTTACCTGGGAGGTTGTTGGGGTGACGGTGAGCCAGTGCCAGGCAGTTTGGCAGATCTGCAGGCCTCCATAAGTGGCCACCATTGGTGAGCCAAGTGTTCTCTCTTCAGAAGAGAGTGCACCTGCTTCCCAGTGGCTTTCTGGCTTGTACAGGGGACAAGATCCAGGAGATTAAGGCCTTTTGGGGCAACTATGCCTTCAGTGCCCCCACAGACTGTACCCATAAGCAATGGGCACCATCCCCTGAGCAGGTCTGTTCTCATCAGGTGTCTGATGGGCAGTTGAGTTTTGTCACTAATGATGACTACCAGTTGTGATGCCTCTTTGACCTTCTAGTTCTGCAGCCCTCCATGATGGTACCCTGTTGCTTTTCTAGTGTCTCAGCTAGAAAACAACTCAAAAGTTCTTTTTAATAGGCTACACATAAGACATTCTGATTACTTCTGTTTGTAACAGTTTGAAGTAAAACCCTTTGAAGTGAACAGATCACATGGATGTGAAATGATCTGTACCTACTTATTTATAATTACAAACGGGCAAAGTTGTTAAAAAGCCTTATGAATTACTAAATTGTAGTCTTAGATGTAAAATGTGGACAATTAGGTGAGAATGATCAGTTCCCATCTTTATTGTGCTCACACAGAGTACCCAGTATTTTATTCATTTGACTGGAGAAGTTCCAGGCTTAGCAAAAGTGACTTAACCTTATCATGTTACGCAGGGTGTTTAGTATTTAAAACTTTTCTTTTCTCATAAGAGGGTGTTAGGTACAATAGGTGATTTAACCTTTTGTTAATAAATTACAACTTTGCTGGGCTCGGTATCTCAGCCTGTAATCCTGCACCTTTGGGAGGCTGAGGTGAGCGGATTGCCTGAACCCGCAGGTTTGAGACCTGCCTGGGCAGGCGAGACCTCATCTCTACAATAAAAATCAAAAAATTATCCGGGTGTGGTAGTGCGCGCCTGTAATTCCAGCTACTTGGAAGGCTGAGGCGGAAGGATCGCCGGAGCCCAGCAGGTCGAGGCTGCGGTGGCCGGGAGCAGCCACTGCACTCCAGTCTGAGTGACAGAGTGAGACTCCAACTCAAAAATAAAATAAAATAAAATAAAATAAATTACAACTTCAACAAGCCTGATATAGCAAACAGTGGTATTATTTAGCACTTATGTGTTAACACATGGTAAAGTTGGAAGTAAAATTTTACTAGAGCACTTGCAAGTTTGTTTGGAAAAGTAGATTAAAATTACAATTGACCTTTTTTGTGGTAAGTTAACAGGATAACTTTACATGATTCCTTTACTTTCCTCTGGGAAGAAGGTTGATATAGTCCCAATTTAGATATCACTTGAGAGAAATTTATTGTAAGAAAACAAGAACTTTAATATCCTTTTGTCCCAGCCACTCCCCTGAGAAGAGACCTATTCAGCCATGTGGAAACTTGAATGGACTTCCCAAGTACACATGGGGGTGGTGACTTGCTGCAGCTGGAAGGGCTGCCACCAGGGGGTTATTAAGAAGTGTGTGGGGGGGGAAGGGCCGGCCCCTTCTCCGAAGGTAAGAGAGACTGGGGGGCCAGGGCTAGGTGTCAAGGCCGCAGATACCAGCTCCTCCTCCACAGGTAAAGGTGGAAGGCAAGAAGGAAGAAAAGGAAGAGAAACTGATGGAGAGTGGAAGAGTAAAAGCAGATTAGAAGAGAGACTGGAGAAATTAAACCAGCTGGGCCAGCATTTGAGTTGTTAGATGGAAAGCAGGAACTGGAGTTGTAAAAGGAATAGGAGAGTCTGAAGGGGGGGTGAAATATCTTTTGAGGGCGGGGCTGCTCCGTCAGCAGCATCAGTATCCTGATGAACCTATGGGCAATGGGGTTTGGGGAGACAACACAGAAGTACGGCGACAGGAACAGATATCTGGGTGGCGAGTTCGCGCATAAAAGGCCCCCGAATATACAGGATTTCAAGGTATATGTCATTTCCTTTTAGGTGCAAATCAAGCTGCAGGAGTGCATTAGGAGTTAAGGAGCCACCTTCTGGCCAGATTTCGCCATCCCCTAGCTTATATTGTGGAATTTCCTTGTACTTGTCCACCAGATGAAAGGGTCAGCTCGGGTAAGGTGGGCCAGAGCCAATGCCGGGGCTGCAAAGCAGTAATTAAAGGAAACAGGGATACAATTGGGATGGGCTCTTGGTTCCATGGATTTGTTTCTGGGCCTTACCCATCCAGATTCCCTGCCAGGCATCCCCAACAGGTTCAAAGGCATCAGTACAAAGGATGTGAGTCACCAGGGAGAGAGCGTCCTCCTGTCCCTGTGCCCACTGGAGTTCGCGGGACACTATGCTCCACAATGTCTTGGAAGACCTGGTACCAGGACTTTTGGCAATCGGAATGCTGTGAGCTAGCTCCCAAGATGGGGCTGGGAAAAGCCCGACAGACCCAGAAAGTCATCCGAACCAAAGCCAGGGGGACCCAGGAGCACCCATCCAAATATGTGGATGTGTGGATGATAAATAAGGGATGACTCATCAGAGGTGCAGAAAGGCGTAGCGTGCAGCTTTTGGAGTCTCAAGGTCCTTCGTGGAGTTGCTTTGCCAACCAGAGAGGGAAAGAGCAAAGAAACCAAACACTCTGTCTCCCACCCTTACAGGTGCTGGTGGTCCTTTGGGGCCCTTCCTGCCTCCCTAGCGAGTAGCCCTAGGTGGAGACCATCAGTTGTCCTCCAAGATCCAGCCTGGTCCACGGGGAAACTCAGAAATCTTGTCTAGAAGGAAGCAAAGTGTTAACCTTAGCCCCTCACCCTGTTGGGCCACAGTGATCTGATGTTTTTCCCTGGGACCTTCCAGCATGCTGAGGTATAGCCTCAGCCAGAGCTTTCAGTTACCACCAGGTTCTAACACAGTCTACAGAGGGTCACCAGTTAGGAAATGAGAGAGAGAGAGAGAGAGAGAGAGAGAGAGAGAGAGAGAGAGAGAGAGAGAGAGAGAGAATCTCAGATATCTCGGTGGGACCTCCAAAAATGTTAGGTCCAGATAGGGTGAGGGTGGATGGAAAGATGGAGAGGGGAGAGGAAGCACAGTACCAATAACCCAGAGATCCGAGTAATGCAAAGAATTGTAACACACAAAGAGGCAAAGAAGGTAAAGTTTATTTAAAAGTAAAAAAAGTAAATTAGACAGAGAAAGAGAAAGAGAGAAGATTCACCTCCCCAAGGTGAGGGAGGGGGCCAAAGCTAGGAAGCGTGGTGACAGTCATAGCTCAAAAAGCACATGGCCACACCAGAGTCTAGCAAGGCAATGGCCCAAGATGGTACTTTGAATGCTGAATTCTCACATGGCAAAAGGGAGGGGAGGGCAGAAAGTCATTAATTCCGTCCACAAGGATCCTGTCTTATCGCCTTAATAGCCTGCTAAAGACTTCACCTGTTAATACTGTCACAATGAAGATTAAGTTTCAGCATATTAATTTTGGGGAGATGCTTTTAGACCACAGCAGGGGGAAAGCTCAGTCCTAAAGGTGGTGGCAGTTATCTGTGAAAGACTTGGCTGTTTAGTGCCTTCAGGGTCATTTGAACTAAAAGAACAGGGTCAAGGCTGGCACAGGGTCTGGTGTGATCAGCGTGGGACATGAAAACCGTAGGTCTTGCCTCACCAGGGAGTCTAATTCTAGAGTGAACATCGAACTCATCATATCCACAACATATTAAGACTAACCAGGGAGACTGACAACCTTTTTAAAGTGAAATTGTGTGTGGAGCCTGCTATCTAAAGGTGACCACAGCAGAGGAGTTCTGGGAGAGACAGGTGGCAGCAGCCCAGGATTCCTTGGCTTCACCTCTCTGCAGTTCACCGCTCCTGGATCCAAAGGCCCACAGCATTGGCTAGAGGGATTTGTGAAATGTTCAGCTTTGTACCTTCTTCAGTACCAGGAGCTCAGGAAATTTTCTTCCATTTTTTTGGGGGGGGTCAAAAGTGTTTTATTTTTTAAAGAGCTTGTTTTAATCCAAGATTGTGTGAAAATGAATTATTTTCTTCTTATAGGATTATTCTTGCACTTGAGAATCATTCTGTCTCTTTTTATTCTTTCTGAAACATGTAATGAACAGAATGCGAGGATTAATTACCCACTGAGTGTCAAGCGTAAGTTCTCAAACAAAGGGAGGACGTTTTAAAAGCTATTTTTGCATCCTTTTTTGAAAATTTGATATGTGGTTTATTTTGGTGATGTGGTTACTTTTGGCTTTGAGTAAGCACAAGTTTGTGTCACCCATACTTACAGGGATGCATAGTTACCTCAGTATTTTAAAAGAATAACTCACAATTCACCAATCGAGTAATGTGTAGTCCATATGTGTACCTATCTTGTAATGGCTTTATTTGATGATATTAAGAACAAAAAGACAAATAAGCAAAAAAGCTTTAGTTTCTTCCCACCCTCGGGTTCCAGGAGGTCAGATTTTCCACGATTCCTTCTCAATAACTTATACTGTCTGTCTTTGTCTTCATGTACCCTGGGAGGTTCATCCCTTTCCCTGTGGACTTGACCTTCCTTCTGAATGTCCAACTTGCACTCTTTCCCTAAATATTCATCAACTTTTATATTTACACCGGCCTTAAAAGACCTTGCACGAGCATCATCTCACGCCTTTACTGAATGCTTAGTACGTGCAGAAGCAGTTTAGTCCCTTTAAAACAGTGATTCTTAACTATCTTATGTAAGACCATTTTAGAAATCTGATCGAAGCTATGAACTTTCTTTTGCAGACAAATACAACCAAGAAAGAAAAACATGCCCAAATGCTCTATATATTTTCACAGGACTCACAGGTTCCTGGGATCCCCCGTGGACACTCTTCTTTCATTGATTTAGCAAACCTTTTGTGCCCCGGTATCGCAGGACTAGGGAATGAGTACTTCTCTATCACATATCTCCAAATGGGTACTTCCTTAACCAAAAAAGATGCCTCAGATTTGAGACTTCTCTCTGCTATTAGTCAAGGGCTGTCCCAGTCTCCTGTCTGTTTTGGAGGGGTTGAATTGAACCTCTAAGTTACAGAAGGATACCGAGTTGCTTGAGTGTAGCTGGGCCTCCCAAGGACCAGCATCTTCTCTGTATGTCTCGTCTCTGCTGCTTTCTGTTCAGCATTTCTTTACCTTTCTCCTTCAGCTTTCTCACCTCCTAATTTATGCATATGGTGCACTAAGGATGGCCTTCTCATTGCTGTCTGGTTCTGGCAGTCTTTCATGGCATAGCTAGCACAAGGGTCTTGAGTATCATATTTTTTTAAACAATAATGTTGTAAGTATACCTGTTAGACAATTATAACTAATTCTGTTGTTTGCCTCGAAATGCCATTTTTAGAGGCTTTCCATTCTTGGTTATTTTCATTCTATAGTATTTCTGCCTTTCTAGAGAACATAGTAAATGAACAATGGGTTTCAAGAGTACGTCCTCCCTGGTTGCAGGTAAATTACCTAATTTATCTTGGAATCCCCAGGGCTCAGCCCAGGGCTTAGCACAAAGCAGCTGCTCTCTAGACACTAGATATTTCATTAGGGGAAGTGTGACGTGCTTGTGTGGGATCTGGAAAATCTGGAAAAAAAAAACCCCTAAATCTGAAAGATTTCTGATTTCAAGCATTTCACATAAAGGATACTCAACTTGTATATGTATGTATGTGTGTATATATGTATACATCTTCATCACTTTGAGAATCTGTTTTTAAAAATTGATTGGTATGCCGGGCTCCGTGGCTCAGCCTGTAATCCCGTGCCTTTGGGAGGCTGAGGTGAGTGGATTGCCTGAGCCCGCGGGTTCAAGACTCGTCTGGGCAGCAAGACCTCATCTCTACAATAAATCAAAAAATCAGCCGGACATGGTAGCACATGCCTGTCATTCCGGCTACTCGGAAGGCTGAGGCGGAAGGATCGCCGGAGCTAAGCAGGTCGAGGCTGCGGTGGCGGGGGGCTGCCACTGCACTCCAGTCTGGGCGACAGAGTGAGACTCCAACTCAAAAAAAAAAAAAATTGATTGGTATTATGACAAATAATTTTACAATTATGACTCAACTGAAGAAATGTTTGCCAATATGTTTTCAAAATTTAATATGAAAGTTAATTATGTGAAGGCGTTCAATTGTTCATGGTTATGTACAACTTGAAATCATAACATATTTTACAGAAAACTTTATACACAGTGTATGTGTCATTTCACTATTAAATTCTATTTTACCAAAAAGTATACATTCGAATGCAATTTAATGCATTTTATTTTTAAATAATTAAATCTGACTAAGATAAAATTAAATTTTTAATCAACATTATGTAATAAAAGTAACATGTGATACAAGGTACACAAGTGTATAATCTGATGCCTTTGAACAATATTCATACCTGTGTAATCACTGCCCCAGGAAAGACAAAGTGAAATTCATACATATATAATCATTACCCCAGTAAGGAACAATATTCATGCCTGTGTAATCATTATCCTTGATAAAAATAGCATTTTCATCATCCCAGAAACTTACCCTGTGATCTTTGTACCAGTCTTCTCATCTAACCACAGATGATTGAGCTTCTATCACTATATCATAGTTTTGCCTGTTCTAAAATTTCACATAGATGGAATCGTACTATATTGCACTCTTTTAAGCATTGTTCATTTTGCCGACAGTGAATTTTTTGAAATTCATCCATACTGTGATGTGAACCAGTAGATCATATTTTTTTTTTACTGGTAGTGATTGTTTGCATGAGCAGTATTTGTTTATTCATTCTTTTGATGGCCATCTGGGTTGTTTCAAGTTTTTATCTATTCTGAATAACTGCAACGAACACTCATATGCAAGTCTCTTTTGGACCAATGTTTCAATTCATGTTAAATAAAAAATTAGCAGTATAATTTCTACGTTATTTGGTAACGTTGTGTTGTTGTAAGAAATTGTTACCCAAAGTGGCTGTCATATTATTCACTCCCACTGGCACTGTAGGAGACTTTATTTTTGCTTAATTTTTCTCCTATCTCGTCCTTAGGTTGGAACTATTTTATTGATCTTTCTTGCATGTTCGCAGACTATTTCTACCATCATCTTCAATCTCTTCTTACTTGTATCAAGTGAAATTTTTATTTCAGTTATGGTACTAGTTTTAAAACTTACAATTTTCAAGGTTCCCAGTTCTCTTTTCATATCTACCTTCAGTGTTAATTCAATAAGAGCATACCTTTTAAAAGTTTTGATACATTTATCATGTATGTTTGAATGTCTTCTTCTGATAAATTTAACATCACAGCCATCATTTTGCACTCAATTACTATTGCCTACTTATTTTCTCAGGTGTGGTTTCTTTTTCTTTTTTCCTCTTTCTGTTTAGTAATTCCCAAGTGCATATCGACTGCTGTGATTCCACCTTGCATTTTTAAAAAATTTTATTTTATTATAGGAATGTGGGATAGTAACTTCATAAGTAGGGCTGCATGCAGGTGAAGTTTGGGTTTCTA